TTTTTTTTTTTTTTTTTAGTTTTGTGGGGGTCTCGTCCGAAATACAGCTGCTGTAGGAAGGACTCGCCAAACCCTTTCGCACATAAAAATTGGTCAAGAAATACGAATACACTTCGATTATGGAGCAATATTCTTTGTAAATAAATTACAAAAAAGCTAAATACTATGTCCTTTATCAATCTAAAAATTCTATTATTCATAAATACTCGCAAGACAAGAAAAGGTTAGCTGCGAACAGCGGCCGTGATCTTTTGTATGTCAAGCGCGTGTGTTTGGCGTCCCGAGAACCCACGCAATTTTTTAAATAACGTGGTAAGTCAGTTCGTATTTGTTTGTTGTAAGACTGTGGAGGCCGCCGCCCACCTGGACGCCCGCCGCCCTCGCGCCCGCCTGGCTGGAGCGGCAGCGCGGGTTCGTCCTCGCGGCCTCCAGCGCGGCGCGCTTATGCTTCTTCCTCCGGGAGGCGAAGGTGCGCGCCGAGCAGAGCTTACAGGTAGGTCGGCTGATTGATTACTAGTGATTACTAGGGCTGATTGATTACTAGTGATTACTAGAGCTGATTGATTACTAGTGATTCTGGGCGTGTCAACTGCTAAGGTCGTTCGTTCCGTAGGTGCATTGCACGTTTTTTGCTCGGGAGGTGGCGGTGAGCTTGCCCCACTGGATGGCGAGATCCGCCGCGCCAGCCGAGACAAGCTCAGCCTAGCCTCCGACGCCACGAAGAATGTCAGTATAGTCAGGGAAGGGAAAGACAGTATGCGTACTGGTGAGACAGACAAGCATACCTTAACAAAAAAGGTGACAACACTCGCGTCTGCGAATGTGCGATCTTTTGTACCGCGCTCACTGCTGTTCAGCACTACTGTTCTAGCGACAACAACCAGTAAGGTTGGTGAGAAAACTTAATTTTTTCAATAAAATTGGTTTTCATCTTAATTAAACTGTTTCAGGCAGAACCTATTTTAGTTCGGGGGCCACTATGATTTTTATTTTTGAAATAATAAACTTTAATCACTTGAAACAGAGAATATTATCTTTTATGTTTCTGTTAACTTGCCTTATTTTTACCAATTTGAATACTCTTAAATTAAAAGGATATCGTTAACAATACTTTATAATTTATTGTTTTCGTACCATTATACATTCAAGTTCACGAATTTTAGCGTGTTCGAAATCGACTTTGAAATGTGAGGCTATCAATGTGTGGTAATTATTTGTAAGCCTTTTGAATAAAATTACAAAAGGAATGTGGAATTTGTGAGCATGCCTCTCATGCTGACCTCTGGATATGGTTCTGTATGATGTAACTGAATGTCTCTGGTTACAACGCAGTGCAGTAATGCAATAAGTACTCTATATACACTGGTCTTTGTATGATGGGCGACATGTCACGTGAACGTGCAGGCCGGAAATACAGTAGTGCCCGTCGTTCTTCGCAGAAATCTTGCACATTTCTCGCCATTGCGTTGCACCATGCGTTTAGGATTTGCCCGACTGAAATACCGGGAGAGATGGGATCAGAACATCAACTGATCTCACGGAAGTCCCTCTGATCGGGAGGTAATAGGTTCGAGTACCAACGGTGACCGGATTTTCGACTGTAACTTGTCAGCTAGGTCAAATTCATTCGCTGTCTGGAGGAGAATTCTAGCGGCCGGCTGATCTGGTCGATGGTTTTCTGTGGTTTCTCCGATCAACACCAGGTGAATGCCGGAGCAGGACCCTACCAAACGGGTTCCGGACCGCGCGTTATCTTTCCTTCTTCTTTCTTGTCCTAACCTCTCTCCTTACATACACTTACACTTACATGCACAACACTATTACACAAACAGAGACAGCTCGGAAGTTTAAAGCTTATCACAGCTAGCGCAGTCAAAGTTAAATAAAGCGAATGTCTGTGAGAAATAATTTCTGATTACATTTACCTCATTCCAAAATCAATCTATAAAATAATAGAGTAAAATTTTACATAATCAAAGCTCCTATCATTATTCTATTTCCAGCAACTCACTGACTCGAGCACTCGACATCTTCAGCTGAACACGGCTGCGCCAGTAGTTCTTGCGCTGTCTCAGTGCTGGACGCTTGCAAGCGCGCGTCTTCGGCACTGCTCGAGGAGGTCCCTCCACAACGAGCATGAAATGGCTTTCCAGGCGCTCGCCATTTTGTGGCGCAGCCACACGTCCTTTCGGGGTCTGCTTTTGATAGAAACTCGGCTTGACGTTTGGGCAGAATGGACCATGGACCCATTCGCTCCTGGTAAGTTAACAAAAAACCAACATATTTTAAAGCTGAGATAAATTTTTGACGAGTTTGAAGTGAAGGTTGAGAAGCCCACCTGCCTGACATCATCCATTTTGATTTTTGAGTTAAACGGGCACTGTCTACACCTGTCAGTGAAATAGTACGCAGAAAATTTCTTGTTGGAAATACTTTAAAAATAGTTTTCACTGCTATCACAAAATGTATCCCTATTTATCTCCTTAAATTGGTTTTTCAATTTGTTTATCATACTTTTATGTAACAATACAGTCGAGCTCAAATTCAATGCCAATTGATTTGGTAAGATTATTGTAATTGTTTAGGCGTAATATATTTTGTAAAATAATATTTAAATATTTTGTAAAATAAAAAGGAAATGAAGTTAAATAATGAAGTGAAATAATAAGAGCTTCCTTATTATGGTTAAGACCACCAATTATGGCTAAGATCCCGTGTTTAAAATGACCCGCGTTTTAGTACCTTCATGGTACCAACTCCGTTCTCAGCAACTGCACTAAAAATTGCCTTCGTCGATGGCGCGGAGCAATTTGAGGATTTGTAAGAGATATAAGGGGATAATTCAATGAAATTGCTTGACAGGGAACCTTGGCCACGAGGCGTTCCGCTCAGGGAACGGGAGTGATCCAAATGCCCGAGTGGCTGTGCAGTTCGAGCGCGTGAAGGCGGGGAGCGGGGCAAGGAGGGCCTCAGCGTTGGCAGCCCTGCGCGCGCGAAACCTTGGTGGCGGCCCCGTCCACACCAACTTCCCGAACACCGAGGAGTACGTGTCAGCAACCTTCAATGACACCAACATCATCATGGTGGGCCGCATGTTCCGACTCTTCACAGAAATAAAACGGCATCTGAACTGCCGCTTGGTTTTCAAGGAAGGGTTGACGGAGGAGGATCAAAGTCGAGTGAGTATTTTCTACCGCCGTTCTGTGCCTTGGCTCTCATAATTCGATTGTAACTCCACACGTCGATTATGCCATTCGTGTCTCGGTAGGTATAGTGAGATTGTTGGTGAATCTTCATTCATACTAAAGGCTTGTCATTGTATACTACACAGACAATTTCACACTCCAGCTCCACCAACCGTTCCCTTCACTGTGAGGTCTCCTCTGGCAGACAGCCCTTCTATATATAGCTTCTATATTTATCAATGAAAAAGAAAAAAATCTTCAATATACGCAGCATATTTATGCAAACATCATCCCAAGATGACGGCTTAATAGTCAGGGACGAATACTTACGAGAACCTTTTCACAAAGTTCTTCAATCTTTGATCACAGAAAGAAGTGTTGTAGGTGTGTTTGAGTTATATGATCTCAACTAATTTGACGATATCGTAAAGTGCTAATCGGGGAGCCACATGAAAAAAAAATTTAAAAAAACGTACGTAAAATTCTATAATAGGTGCAACGGTTCGTAAATTTTCTGGAATCACAAAATAGTTCATACAAGGTATTGGAATTTTAGGAACCTCTCAAATTCTTTCAAGTGTAACTCTCAGTGACATAATACATTGATGGCAAAAAGTCGAAGGATAAAGATATCTCTCAAAACATAAATGTTAATTATTATACAAGAAAGGCAAATTTGTAAATCATTAATTTTTAGTTACTAACAATGTTTGGTTTCTGGGACTGAACGTGAAGTGCAAAATGTACACATTAAAATTTCCGTAGCCCAAAACGCCCAAACCAAAAAGGTTATAAAGAAAACACTTTCACCTTTCAGGAACAAAAATAATACTCCATTTTCAATGCAATATGTAGGATGTATGTATGATCATGTCAATTTTACCAATTGTTTTCGAAAATATAAGTGAAATATTTATTTTGAAGAAGTATTGATGTTTCCTTACTTTCCGTTGTCGAATGCGTCTTTACTGAATTTTAAGTTGAACTAAACCACGTTGAATATTTACTTGTGAATAACCTTGAATTTCTATTTACCAAACACTGTTAAATTTTAGAAAATTGTTACTCTTGTAAAATAACATTAATTAAACTATTTTCAGGTGATAAAATTCAAAACCGAAGCAGGGAATTATTACTCATGGCTGGGACAAGTGTACGCGAACGTGGCAACGGGTCACATAGATTTAATCCCCTTGCCATACGACCCACTATCCTCCGGCGAGGATCTGCTCTCCGTGCTCACGGCCACTGCGTTTTGGAGCGAGCAGAGGGTCGCTGTGCCCCACGCTGCGCAGCTGCCGGCGTGGTCGCTGCCGCTGCGCGTGTTCTCCCCGCGCATCTGGTTCCTGCTGCTGGGGACGGCGGTGGCGTACGCGCTGGCGTGGCGCGTGGTGGCGGGGGAGTCGCTGGCCGCCAGCGCCGCCGCCGCGCTGCGCGCCTTCTCCTCGTGCGGGGGCGCCCCGCAGGACAGGGTGCGCGCCACGCCGCAGCGCCTGCAGCTGGCCGCCGCGCTGCTCGCTGCCTCCGTCGACATGGCTGCCATTTATCAGGTGGGCGGACAGCGCCGGTTTCCGAAGCGTGCTTGTAATTAAATAGAAATTCAATGTGGCTTTATAAATAACACTATTAAAATTGAATTTTGCTCTGTACTTTTCATTAAAACACTACATTTTTATTTTTTGAAGATATCCTTCAAGGCCATTTCTTTTCGATTTTCAATGTTATTAATGAGGCTAGTTATGTTAGAGCAATGACTAGACTAGTGTAATGAGCATAGACTAGTGTAAAACTGAAGCAAGTATCATAATTTATATTCACAATGAAGCCAATGGCATTCGTTATGTTGTTTACTATCATTTTTTTGAGTATTTAATTATTTTGTTATTTAGAGATTGTGATGCTGTAGGACCATGAAAATATTTGTCAGATACTACAGTTTCACAAATAAAAAGTGATTAACATTAACATTATGTTTAAAAAATAATTGTTTGAAGTGATGGGAAAATAAAATATTTGTATAAGATATCCGTTGTTACGAATATGTTAAAAATTGTATATAATGGATGGTATTTATTTCTTGATGTTCCATTTATTAGTGAAATTATCCTTGCTAGTCTATATGATATGCTGAAAATAAAAAATGTTTATAATAATTTTCGTTCGTTTACTATTTCATTTTTATTTCAAAATCTAACGTACGAACTTGGCAGCAAAGTTGAAACGATTTCTTAATGAATTATGGAGAGACTAATTATGGTTTTGTTTGTTTGTAAGTCTTCATTTAAAAGAAAAGAAAATATTTAAGCATGAACTTAAAATATCTTCCACACATGTAGAAAAATAATTGTATGTATTCGAAACAAAAAATAGTGTTCCATAAAGAACTTTCGTCAAACCACAACAATAGAAACTAACAAGCAGTTCCACAAATGGCAAAATGGCGCATTTAGGAACAATTGATAAGAAAATATCTGCCCATTGTTGACAGCGCCCATATCTGCATGCGCGCTTTGTTGTCACCAATCATCGACTGACATGTGTTGATATAACAGGAATGCGATATAATATTATTACATAACTATTACTAATGGGCGAGAAAGTTAGTGCAGGTTTAGCACCACTAGTTTTTTAACTAGTGAATGTTTTGCTCAACAATGTTGCTCTTTTTTGGACCGTTTCTTGATACTATAAAACCCTGAATATTACAGTCGTAGTTCAATACGTTTTGGTCACAAATATGTCTTATTTTGTACAATTAATCTAATGATTATAATAATGTATTATATTTTTTTACCCAACACAGTAGTTACGCTCGTTAGTAGTTGTGATGTAGTGCTACCGCTGCCACCGAACGCTGAGGCTGCGTTTAGAGTAGATGGCGTGAGTGGGTGGCGTGCCGCAGGGGCGGGTGGTGACCTTGCTGGCGAGCCCCGAGCGCGAGCGCGAGACAGACTCGTTCGAGCAGCTGGCGGCGTCCGCGCTGCCCCTGGTGGCCGTCTCCGGCAACGACCTCCGATCGGTGCAGCGCGTGCCGAGGGGCGTCTTCCCCGACGCAGAGGCGGCGGCGCGGCGCCGGGCGGCCAACACGGTACGGAACTTCACCTTCAATCAAAATTAAGCGCGGGGGCAGCCAGTAATGGATAGATTTGGGACCTAGAAGCGAGAATGCATACTACAGAAATGATCCTGTGAAGTATGATTCTAGTACGAGTGGTATAAAGTGAAAAGTTTTCTCCTCGCAAATATAAGTATCAGAGTAAAAGGTAACGTGTAGACTTCATATTTGCATTACCACATGATGTTACGAAAATTCGAAAACTATATATTGTACAAGTTTATAAAATAATATTAAATGTTAGAGAATAAGAGAATAACCCGTAATTATATTTATGTATAGAGTACATTGAAAGATTTGTAGGACATTTATATCGTAAAACGCACAATATTACGATTTATGCAAGAATTTTAATGGTTTAAACTGTCTTGTGAATTTAGTAATGCATAAATGCTTCTTTCACTGCTAGATATTGAAAACAGATCATTTATAATGACAAGTTCAGCATTTCTATTCAATATGCGAAAAAGCTTTTGAAGTTTGAGTTTGGTCATTAGATAATTCGGCCAGTAGTTGCGGAAAGAAGTGTTTAGATATATTTAACATTCATTTCTTAATTTAGATCTATTGGTCTGTTTTTTTAAGACAATCAGATATTGTATGAACTACACGTTTAACAAGTTTTATTTCACATTTCTTTATTAGTTTCCAAGCTGAATTTCACCTCATCTTCAAGTAACTTGCGCCCACTTTAATTTATGCTCAGTTATTGTCACATCTGTAAAGCTACGTTACAAACGTTAGACAAACATTAAAGTGAGCGTGGGTTACTTGAAGATGACTTCAAATACGACCTCAAAACTGTATGTGAAATGTGAATATGGAAAAAAAATTAGTTACAGTTAATACCTAACTGTCTTAAAAAAGCTGGAACAAATAGAAGTAAATTATTAAATATTTCAATCATTCAGCCTATTATATTCATTTCAATTATCAGATAATATACCACAATTGTCTTATTTTGCATTAAATTACCTATTCTTATTTCGTATTAAGAAATATTTATGACAAAATATAATTATCCTACTATCCTGTTTTTATTTTTTAAAAGTAAAATAAAAAGTTGATGATAAGCATGCCATACAGTCATATATGATTTGCTAATAAGAACAGATAAAAATTGTCATAGTATAGTAAAATACACAGTGAAAGTTTAAAAAAGGCTTATTCTCAAACTATTGGTACAGGGAATAAGGAGGACTCTGTTGGTAGTGCATTTGCATACATAGAAAATAACTAAATGTACACTTTTAGAAACTAAATTGCAATGCACTAGACTGTAATTTAAAAACATTGGTAACTAGTCTTAATGTGAACAGAAGCATGAACAAAACGAAATTCAACATAAAACATAATAAATAGAGTACATCTTGTTTTGTGTTTTGCCAAAGAATACAGTTAATTATGGATTTCATCAATACTTGTTTGTAACGCATTATGTTCAGTCGTTTCCGAATGAATGCCACAAAGACATCTTGAATTTATTCCTCCCACCGACACATTTGCCACGCGGGCTGTTATCGCCCAGCTGGTCGAGCGGGCGGTCGAGTGGCGTGGTGGTGTGCAGGCGCGCCTGGTGAGCGTCCAGGAGCTGCTGGGGCTGGTGCGCGGGCAGCGCTTCGCGTGGTCGCTTTCGGAAGCGCGCTGGCAGGCGCTGCTGGTGACGGAGCCGCGCTACGCCCTCCGCCTGCGGCTAATGCGCCGGCGAGCCGGTCGCTCCCAGGTGCACCTCTACGCGCGCAGGTACAGCTACTGCTTCTACGTGGTGGACCCTAGTGTGTTTCTGGGACCGTTGTCTACTAAGGTCTCTAGTCCTGTAAATGTTTTATTTTGAAATGCGTTGGTGTTGCTTGTTACCCCACGGGAAGGTGAAAACCGGTGAGATAAGTAAGCGTAGATTTTCCTCTCCCAGATATACCCCCGAGCAAGGCTTTACACCAGTTGGACTGTTAATTTGCGCGGTAGTGTAATGCATAAATGTGTGTGTGGGGGGGTGTAATAGAAGTCGAGGAAAGGAGAATAAAGAAGGATAGACAGAGCCATTTGTTAGTGTAGTGCTTGGTATTCGATCGGAAAAATATTGATCAAATAAGCCGGACACAAGAACTCCCTTCTTGACCGTGACTCAAGCAAAAGTGGCAAACAAATATCGGGAATTCAATTCCCCAGTATGCAACAAACTTGCAAACCAGCTACCGGTTGCGGATGATTGGCCTCACAAGCGCACTACCCGAAACGGTACCGTACCTGCAAGGCCACATTTGATCAGCTCTCTGCTTTGTCATTAGCGCTACTATCGTTACCGATGGTTGCATCTAAGAGCGAGTCCACTTGTATTCGCTCAAGAAGTCAAAGGCGTCTTCAGAAAATGTTCAGAGGACATTTATAAATTAGAAAAATATTAATAATAAATAAAAATATGTACATTTTGAATAATTATAAATATAATTAAAATAATTATAAATGTAATTAAAATAATTATAAATGTAATTAAAATAATTATAAATGTAATTAAATGATTTATTTATTTATTTACATATATATTTACTTACTTATTAACTTACTCGTTCACTCACTCACTTACTTACTTACTTACTTACTTACTTGAGCGTTCCTGTTGAAGGAGCTGGCCATGGGTGGAGGCGCTGGACGCCCTGGTGCTGCGCCTGGCGGCTTCGGGGCTTCCCGACACCTGGGAGAAGCGGTTCCGGCGCGAGCAGCGGTGCTGCGCAGTCGGCAGGGGGACGACTGAACGCGCGCGCTGGACGACGCGATCGACTCCTCCCTGCACTCCAGCAAGGTACACGAGGGGGAACTAAGCGAAACCCTTTTCCAAGGAACAATCAGGGAGTGCACTGCAAAATTCAGATGTGACCTGTTTCTTCCTTTGTCACTTTCAATTTTACTCCGAAATATGAACAGGACGGACCCGTGTAGTCTGTCGAGACACAATGTGTAGAGGGATTGCGGCTTGTTCAAGCTGAATCATGAAAGAGTAAAACTGAATAATCAAATGCATCGGCATAATGATGTTCAATTTATGAAATCTCAAACACAAAAGAAACGAGGGGTTTGAAGAGGAATTCCAGTTACGCAAGTTTAAAATGCAAGTGTTCTAGAAACGTTTATTTCCTTGAATTAAAAATAATACGAAAAGATACTTTTTTGTTATCTATATTACTTATTATTATGATTTTCTAAATTGATAAATAAAAATATTAAGTGTCGGTTAAATTATATTCAAACCTCTAAATTCTAAACTTTGGAAACTTACTTCATGTTTCAATCTCGAAAAGTGGTGAATTTTCGAACTTGATCCCAAAATTTTGTCCATCGTTAACAATTTTTCTTTGACTACCACCTTTGTTGTCAAGAATTTTCATATCTATTGTGTCAGTAATTTTACTTCCGGCCACTAACAGTCTCGACCTGTTTCTTGTGTTGTTTTCTGTCTGAGAGAATAGAGCGCCTGATTGAAACAGAAATCGTTGCATAATTCAGTTTTGCCGAACATTTACCTACCTGCCAAGCCTGTTTTGCCATGCCTGCCAAGTTTTGTGCATGCTGTGGATTGCCATCTCTTCAAGTCACATGAATTTTTAAAACCGCAAACTCGGATTTCTGAAGCCAGTGCTAAGCTTTGCATTCTACTGAGGGCATGCCTATTATTATATAGGTTCAACAGAGCGTATTATTGTACACAGTGTCCAGTAATACACACTATACATACTTATCGGGAAAAAGCAGCACCGAATAGACCATCTTATGAATAAGAATGTATAAAATGTTTGTGCGAAGGACTAATCATATTCCAGAAAATACCTTTCTCTTCCTAGAAATTGTGTACTCTTTTTTTACTCAACTTTGTACCGTCCTCGGACACAGAAAGACGTTTTTTAGTTTGGGGTGTGATTAACGCTAATTTTAACGCCGGTGCGCGTTCTCCGATCTTATCGCGGCTCTTCTCGTGACTAAACCGCGCTTATCCAAGGCAGACGCCCTTAAGTCGGGCTCCGTTTGTGCGACTTGCAGAAGGCAGATGCTTACTGCACTAGCAGCTCCCAACTTGCGATACAGTCGACAGCATGAAAGATAGCATTTCACAGCTGCGATGTCTGAGATATAAAAACTTTGTAATTCTTTAACCTTATAAAACTTTTTTTAACGCAGTAAGGCGTAATGGACGACGTATGTCTGCCTCTTGTAAAGTGTATTCATGCGAGTTTGCGTAGAAGCCATTAACAATGTCAATTGCAAAAAGTGTTTAATTCATAATCTGGCAAGTCCAATTTCAAAATATTTGGCATCGTTGTTGTTTACGGTCTTCGCAGCTTGCGGTGTCAATTTGGTGCAATTTTTCTAAGTGCAGAATAGGCTATTTTTTAGTGTTGCGATCGTTGGCGTGAGTGTCCGCTGTGTGTGTGTGCAGGGGCCGACGGTGCTCCTCCGAGAGGACCTGCAGCCTCTGTTGCAGCTGCTGGGCGGGGGGCTGGCCCTGGCGGCTGCCGTCTTCTGCGTGGAGCTGTGGCACGGACGCTGCTCCCGCCGCGCCACAGGCCTCTGGATGAGGACCCGCGCCTGAATCGAGGCTGTTGGCGGCGGAGCCCTGGGGTGAGAAAAACGGGGTATCAAACATTTAAAACAACCGCGTTCGCTTGTGTGTGCCGCAACTAGTACCGCACACGACGTTTAGACACAAAGGTCAGCCGGTGCGCATAACGCATTGGGAACCTTGGCCATATGGTGCGTTTCTGCGCGTTTTGTGCATGGGCCAATGGCGTGGCCTTTGCGTGGCCCTTGGCGTGGCATTTGTTCCTCCTCGCGACACACGTAACCTCCAGCAGCTCGACAGCCTGGAGCAGCTTAATAAGGAGAGGTCCAGTCGAGAAGGAAGCAGTCGTCCGGAGTACGTGCGTTCGACCAAAAAGGTATTACGCGAAGAACTAATGCGTTATATGGCATGCACGAACGTCTGAAGCTCATCTTTCTTTAGAAAGAACTACGACTGGACTTCTCTCACAGTATATCTCCCGGCGCTAAGGAATACTTAGCTTTGAATATGGTCATTCTTCTGGCTGCACCGGCCTTTTCTATGCGAAAGGGACTTCTATATTGTATGTTGAATAATAAACTATTTATAAACTTGACTTTTCACTCTGATTTGTGAAGAAACAAATGGTGAAGGTGTACAAATAAGTGTTAAAAAATAGGTGTTATTCACTTTTTTCTTATGAATATTCCAATCTTGTAAAAAATGTTCTAAATCTATCCCACATTTATAAAATGCTTAAGAAATTTTTCTGCAGTGCCAATTGATAAGTAATACAGGTGGAATCTGCAACGCTAATTGGAACGTAAAAGCACAAAATCCGCCCCGTAAACCCGATTAAGGCTATGTGGAAGTATATGGCGCCTTGTGTTCGTTTGCTATTTAGTAGATGTCACTGCCAGGAGTAGTGACACAAAGCGTATTGGACTGCTCTTCCGTCAGTCGCTGCCTGAATGGTACAAGATGTCAAAAGACTGGCGTGTGCAGAATTTGTTCATGAGTCGTTACATCATTTTGTTGCGTAGGTGTTCAGACACGCTCGCAAACATCGACGCGGGGTCACTCTGCAGAGTGAAGGAAACTAATAAAAGCTCCGAAACAAAATTGGCCCCGCGGTAATGGAAAAATTTCAAAGTAGGATAGGTAAAAAAAGCAAGACAAACAATATGTACACAACTCCTCTGGTAACAAATTAGAATAATGAATTATTGAACTGCGATACCTACTCGCCACAAATCAAACCTGCAGATTTATAATTGATATGTGGATGTTACATGGATGTTATAAAACATCTTATTGTTGCACATAACAAATGATGAAGAAAAATCATGCCCAAAAACCGCATTTACGCGATTTAGGAACCAATTTTCATTGTTTTTTGAGGGAATCCATACACTTTTAGCGCCCGTGTGCGGCAAATGTCCCCCCAACGGCTGGATCCGGGCAGCTCGAAAGTGTCGGTCGGCGCGGGGCAGGCGCGGAGCGCAACAGGCCGCTCAATCGGCCCCAGAAGCGGCGCGCGCGCCACGCGACGCCACGCGACGCTCCGATCCCCATTAGCGCAATCCGATTAAATGCTGGATGGCGGTGGCGGCGGCGGTCGGTGGCGAGGCAATCCCCGAGTGCCGCCGCAGCTTTCACAGCGCTTTGGACGGGCCGACAGATTTTTAAAAAAATATTTAGTTTTTTATGCGAAGCTCTGGTTTGGTGTTACGATGGAATCATTGACTGAGTCACATATGGAGTCGTTAACGCAGATAGCGAAGTCAGTTGCTGGGTAAGTAACGATTAAATGTTCTTGTAAAATCGTGATGGAAAATAAAGCGACAGGATTTCATAATATGTGTATTTATTTGCAGCTATGTACGTTCAATAATTGCTTTTGGTGAAGTTAAGAGTGGTTTAGTAAACGTCTTTTGCCTCGCGTGAACATTCTGTTCTCTCGCAAAACCCCTCATATTTGGTCTACATAAGCTCAAATTAAGCAACCGGGGTACGGAAGGGTACTACAGTTTTTTTTCTAGATATTTAATCGAAGTGAATAGTTTTGCTTGCTACGTCTGAAAGAGAGGCTCCTGCCTTGTTTAGCGCCATACTTTCGGAATTGATCCCACGCTGATTGGGTTTCCGGTTGCATACACTGTCTGATAAAGAGCTAGTATCGTTGTAAGGATGAGAGAACCATTGCCACGCAAAAATGATGCCGACGTGCAGAGTGTTTATGCTGCTAACGTTCTGTGAAAAGGACCTGTACACACACACATATATATATATATATATATATATATATATATATATATATATATATATATACTCAGAATGTGCAAAGTTTGAATAGAACGATTACACTCTTTCTTCTTCAACGCAGTCTTACTGGAAATGACGCACATTTACGAAAATGTAACTAGTACTCGTTATTAATTTCATTTATTTTGGAAATACCGTCCCAGTACGTCACAATATTATATTAGAGGTTTAATAACGGCTTGCTTACTAAGTTATTAAGAGAGCAACAGTTATATATACTTTTTATATTGCAGTCTAAACAATCTCAACTGTAGTTTCAGCATTAGAAACCGCTTTTGTTATGTCAAAGAGTAACAGAAAATAGCTTGATCAGTCGTGTTTATGAAAAGAATCATTTTGTATTAATTAGTGAAATATCGTTGAAATAAGTCCTTCCTCATAAATTCTCCATCTATTCATAACTTATCTTAGTATTGTAATTACAAATGGCAAAAGGTGGATGATCGTTATAATCTATCTTCACGGTCCTTCCACCACACACGCTTTTCTCAGACCACTGATACAGAATTTTGAGAACGTAGCTTCGTGGTATCAGTATTTAATTGTCTGTCGAGGTTACCGCCTCTATGGCCTTGTTGCATGACTTTCGGTGCTATTCATCGACCTTCCCATAACCTAGGGCGTTCGAATGCCAATGTACCAGTTACCCTGAGGATAGGTCGCAGAAATGGCGACCAAAAACGTCGCACCTCGCCATGGACTCGGCGTCACCCCCCCACTGAAACCATAAAATCAAAAATACTTCATAAATTTGCCTACGCTGACTTAGCCTGCTTTGTAACTAAGACACGAATAAATACTATACCGACAGTATTATTTGCCACTGTATGATTTATTATCTTGAAACATATAATATTACTCAGATCATTATGTGTAATCTCATCATTTAGTAACCTGGGCCCTTTTATCCGTCCGCTGTCGTTTACTAACTTGATTAAACAC